GAAAATTCTGTCAACAATAAAAGTTGGCAAGAATCGTACCAAACATACACCAGTCATTTCAATGGCCAACAATTTCTAACTGCATTCAAAATAGCAACAAATGTATCTTCTTCATGAAGCTGATGACATGAACTCATCCATATATGAATCTATAGAAATGCCCACTTTCTCGTTTTTTGTTACATTTGGCTAAGCCCCAGATCATTCAATGTATCGGTTACGTACTCGTGTATCCAGGTAAACAAAGTTACGTTGTAGTTAACCACATGATGTTCAAATCTTGCAGCTGTTAATTCATTGATTGTATAATCCTTCCAAAAGTCCAAATAAGTTGGCACTTATTTGTTTGGTACTTTTTCCAAGAGTAAGAACTGGACTTTTGTCAATTTTCTTTGAATTTCTATGTGAAAATAGGTCGATGTGTACATGGATAAAGTCAAGGGAGTGCGCAATGCCAGTTTAGTGCAATTCTGGGATTTTTTTAAGTGAAAATAGGTCTATGTGCACATGGATACCAAGTATGTGCAATTCTTAAAAACGTGCCAAGCAGTGTGTGATTCTGCACTTTCCCTGTAAGTTGCACATTCTCCAATATTTTTATTTTATTGTTAGCCAAAGCATAGTTCACTTCCTATCAGAAACTTAACACTAAACATAAAACACTCGTTGTTGTTCTTCCCACGAATTTCCCCAAACATCCGTTCCACCTGCTTAGATTTTCCATTTTTAAAAAATGCATTCAGAGTTTTCCAAAATGTCATGTTTTATTTTATTGTTTGGTTTAAAATGTATTTTATTGAGATTATGTATTTTTTCTTTGATTATATTGTAGAATTTGGTGCTCCTTTGACTTTTTAAGTGAAAATATATCGATGTGTACATGGACAAAGTAAAGGGAGTGCGCAATGCAAGTTTGTGAAATTCTGGTTTTTTTTTTTTTTTTTTTTTTTTTTTTTTTAAGTGAAAATAGGTTGACGTGTACATGGATAAATTTAAAGAGTGCGCAATGCCACTTTTGTGCAATTCGTGGATTTTTTTAAAGTGAAAATTGGTCGACGTGTACATGGATAAAGTCAAAGGAATGCGCAATGCCATTTTTGTACAATTTGGGGATTTTTTTTTTATGTGAAAATAAGCCGATGTGTACATGGATACCAAGTTTGTGCAATTGTTTGTCTTGTTATTTTGGTTTTGTGTAGCGGTATTTTGGTTTTGTGTAGCGGCAATTTTTGGCGCAAAAATCGCTGCTTCGCAAGCCAAAATAACGAGTCAAAGAATTGCCCAAAATCAGTATCCATGTACTGCCAAAAATCACCAAGGGGTACCCTAAACTATACTTTTACCGCCATTTCAAATAAACAGGTTACCAATATCTGGTGCTTTGGTGCAGTTACAACCATGCCCTGTTAACTGAAAGGCACCTCTCTGAATAGAGTATTTATCTTTCCCCTACTGCACAAAAGTATGCTACAATAATTTCTACTGGCGATATCCTTTGAAAGCCAAAAGACTCATTAATTGCTTGGAAAGAAAACACTCTCAAAAATAAGCAAGCATATTTTTATGTCTGTATAATGCCAGGTAACTAAACAACTGTATCAGTCATTTGGTTAGTTTAAGTCAAGCACTTTCCTCATATCTACTTATCAAATCTGACCAGTAATGCTTACCATAAGAACTCGGTTGATCTTTACATTAGGGTAACTTGGCGATTTTTTGGCGAAAATTTGGTGACCAACTCTCCTACAGCAACCCTCTATATTTTTTTCCCCGCCGCCATTTTGTCTTCACGAAGTAAAGACATGTTTCTTTTCTTTTTATCTCCTGAACACTTCTTCCAACAATCTACTAGCCGAATTACACTTATGCTAGAAATTTTTATTATCAAACAAAACTGCTTAATCATGACAAATATTCACTGCAAAATTGGAAAAAAGTGCACAATACCATACTCCTTACGCGTTTTTCAAAATAACACATACACATAAACCATGTTACTAAAAAACTCCATTGCACAAAATGGCATTGCACACACTCTTCACTATATCCATGTACGCTGCTTTTTTTCTCATAAATTACAAAATTTCACGAAAATACATGACAATTTCTCAATCTTTAAAAAACCCGGTAAAAGAACATATATGAAATTACCTGATCGCGAAAAATTTACCATTTATTTAATATGTGGAAATTTCATATTTATTCAATATGAACATTCCACATATAAATAAATAAAATATCCAAAAACTTTACCTCTAAATCATCTATTATATTATACACGTCACAACGAATTCATACCGCAAGCCTTACAATACTTAGTGTCAAATATTTAAATTATTTCCATGCACGTTTATTTCAACTTAAACGTATACCAATTCCTACAAGCATAAAATTCACAAATACTATCATTTCATTAAAATATCACTAACCATGTACACGTCGACTTATTTTTACTTAAAAAACATCCCAGAATTGCCACAAAATGGCATTGCGCACACTCTTCACTATATCCATGTACCTGCTTTTTTCTCATAAATTAAAAAATTCCTAAAATACATGACAATTTTCTCATTCTTTAAACCCGGTAAAAGACATATAGAAATTACATGATCGCGAAAGTATTTTACCCTTACAAATAACATTTCCACAATAAATAATAGATATCCAAAAACTTTTACCTCTAAATCATCTTTACATTAACTACAAATACTTATTCAATATTTAAATTATTCCATGCACGTTTATTTCACTTAACTAACCAAATTCCTACAAACATAAAATTCACAAAATAACTATCATTTCATTAAATATATTAAATTCAAAAACACTACTTAAATATAAATGAGCACATACATTAAATTAATAAAATTCCTTACAATCCTAATTACTTTTAAACTAAATCAATGCTAATAACAATTTTCCCAATAATACCAAATTCCTTTCCACCTTCAATTTTACAACAATCATAAAAATAATATCCTCAAATAATTAAAAATACTAACTTACCTAATCTCTTCAGAATCTTGATTATGGGCGGATACCTTTTCTTACTTCTGTTTCAGAATCTTTAAATCATACTTATCTTTCAAACAAGATACCAGGTAAAAATAAATAACATAATAAAACATCTTTTATTTCTCCTCTCGCAAACCTTAAAAACATTTATTACTATCCTTCATACCAAAATCCCTTTCGAATTCACTTTATTACGGCCATGGGATCCAAAAATTCACAACACTATTTACACAACCAGAATAAAGCCAAATACAAAATTGCCAGATTTTTTCCCGATTAAGAACATTAATTCGTCCTTAATTCACATAACAATCCCTGATCTCTCATTTTCCCTCACACAAAAAATGCGTAATAAACTGATACTACTCCATTCTTAACAAAGTCTAACTAACCTAATCTTTCTTCCAATCTCCTTACATGGTGGATACATTTTATTATGGATCCATAAAATTACTGAACGATTTTTTTTTTTGAATTGATAGAATTTGATAAAAAAAAATTCTCTTTATCACATCTACAATTCGTTTAGACAACGCCATACATCCCAAAATATCAACCTACTTCACACAACACACATGAAGCTTAATACAAATAATATAACCCACAGATACTTGTCCAAATTCCCCTTTTCCGATTAAGGAACCTAATTGTCCATTAATATCACATGAATTCCCCTGATCTCAATTTCCCCCACACAAAATAATGTAATAAATGATACTGCTCACATTATTACAAAAGTCCCAGGTAGTAACCTTTATCGCCTCCAAAATGTCGCCAAACAACCAGTTACCATATTGTAAAGATCAACCAAGAACTCTTAACTTTTAACTTCAATACATCCAAGTATAACATTACTGTATAAGTAAACTATGCAAATTTAACTTGGACGCACTCCAATAGATAAAAGTATTAAATGCAGGTATGAATTCCCTTCATTTAATATGACAAAATTTCTGTACTTGTCTGTTCTACTTTATTTAAAACTGCTTTTTCCTATAAGCAACTTTCTTTTGTTACTTCTTTTTACTGACAGAGCATTTCCTTAGCATTTTTTAAACATATTTGTAACTGTTTTATACTAATTTTATTTCAAGTGGAGAGTTACATCTTGCACCTAAAATTTGTCAAAGTATATTTTGTCACATTTTTTCAATTTTCTTTAGTTAATGAAAACTATCAAGAATGCATCATTATATATCAGACAGAGTCTTACCTTTTTGCAAGCTTTTTACCATACAAAGCCTGTAATATAACACACTAATTTAATTCACATGCTTTTAATTTTTTAAACTATTCAAATCACTACCTCACATCCAAAAGAAGTAATAAAAACCCAATTCACTAAAATAATTTAAATTTTGAAGGAATATTAATTTATACTACAAATTTTCAAGCACTAAAAGTTTCTAGACACTCTAATATCTGATTTTCGTGTGCCCATAAAGACACGTGAAACGCGACTAGAGAAACGATGTGCACTATACAGTTGTGATAAAGAAATATTAAAGTACTTTTTTTTTTTTTTTTCCATATTATAAACCGTAACAACCACGGAAAAAACCTATTAATTTGGGACATGGTGAATGTTCGTTATGTAACGCTACACAGTATCTGGCCAGTTCGGTACACGAAAATAACTCGTTATAAAATTTAGTTGGACCTTCAAATTGAGACAGTGTGACATTTTGCACTATAACACAGAATAAGAGTTTGCTGAAACTTCAGCAGTTTCAAAATGACAACTACGATCGTTGAATACAGCAAAAAGTGCAGCAAACAAGAAATTGAAGAAAAAAACAATAAAGGCGATTCTCATACCTAAAAAATTAAAACTATATCACAAGTGAATGCTCAGCGATGAGTTCACGATTAAAAAAAAAGGATCACATTAAGCCTAATTATCTAATTTATTATTAATTGAGTTGTATTTGCGTTGAGAATGTCTGCTATACTATTTTACAATTTAACCATCAAGTAATACATACCCTTACTTCCAATCTTCTTTGCCATTCGCTGAAACTTTTAAACTTTCTCTAATTTAAACGTTTACACAACGTTGCTAAAATAGTAATTTACCAGTTAAGATAACGTTGATTCTAACGAAGGTAAAGTACCGGAGATTACAGAACAGTCGCGAAACTGCATCGACGGC